GACTTTATGTTTTGAGGAATGCCATTCCATGCTTTAGTATAAACATAAAAGAAAGACCTCTGGCCGTAACAGTTTTTAAAAGTTGGTAATATCAGTTATCCTTTTGTAACAGATCTAGTTGAATGACCACTTCCAGAATTTGATTTGGGCAGCAATGCACAGAGATACACAAATAAACTGAATTGAATTGAATTGAGTTGAACATATTTTATATAATTGTAAGAAATTTGATTTCACTTTGACATTAAAGATGAAAACTTTTATTTTTGTAAAAAGGCCAATTGATATCATCCATGGCTTTATTATGTTAAAACACTCGACTGGGTGAATACTTTTTATATGCACTGTGTAATCTCAAGCATCAGATGTGTAACGAGGCAGTGTTGTGTTGTTTTGATAGCAATACGTCATACAGTTGCAAAGTAGAAATGCATAAGTGTGATGGGGGTATAAGTTTACTGTGATTCTCTGACTCAAGTTTGTGTTTATTGGCTAATTGCTAATAGCCCAAATTGCTAATATTTAGTTTTTCACCATTTGTCCTTCCAGTGTGTTCTCTACCTCTGGTCGCTGAAGATCAACCACCCTACAACTCTTTTCCTTCTGCGTGGGAACCACGAGTGCCGGCACCTCACAGAGTATTTCACCTTCAAACAGGAATGTAAGTGCAGTGCTTTGCAGCTGTAAGCAGGCCAGGCAATCTAATGTGCTCCTACACTTTGTACCACTTCACAGTGACCTGTTGGTGTGTTTTCAGACACAGTCGGGGCAGAGGAGTGCCATTTACAATAACTAATCTTACTTAATATAACAAGCTTCCTACAAGTGGGACATGCTCATCACACTGTGTGAATTTAGGCTTAAGTTCTTGTCACAAGGTGTTGCAGATTGTCAGCAGCAAAGACTCAACAGAAGAGATGATTTTCCTTTTCCTGTAACAGATGAGTGGCTAGAGGATTGAGAGCAGCCAAGCATGTGTTTGATGCTTTTTAGACAGTTTTACACACATACACTGACATCAATCTGTGTGTGTGTGCGTGCRCGCGCGCRYRTGTGTGTGTGTGYGTGTACTTGTTTCTGTTACAGACAGAGTGAGGACCATAATATGTTTTTAACCAACAAAGTGAGGTCCTTTTTGGGAAGTGAGGACATTTTCCACAATCCTCTACAAATTAGGTTTAGAGGTATGGTGTTAATTAAGCTTTGGTTCAGGTTAGGGTTAGGAATAGACTAGTAATAGTTAGTTTTAGGGAAAATGTCTGGTTAGGCTTAAATGCTGCTACAAAAATGAATGGACATCAATACAAAGTCCTCAGTTTGATGCAAATACAAGGATGTTCATCTGTGTGTGTGTGTGTGTGTGTGTGTGTGTGTGTGTGTGTGTGTGTGTGTGTGTGTGTGT